ATACAGGTCACCTTTCCCACCCAAATTTAGTTGTAACGTTCAGGGGACTCGAGCTGACTTCTTACATGTATGTGTTAATGTACTATTAATCGTACACTGTACGTAGTGTACTGGTAATCGTAGTACTATTAATATACACTGAAGTACGATAATGAAAAGTCGTTCACAATTTCTGAATTTAAAAAAATTATCCAAATTAAATGTCGAGTTTTGTTTTGAAAAACATTGAAAATGATGAAAAAATAATTATAATGAGCCAAAACTGTGTTTTATTCCTGGTAAAATTTGAAATTAAGTGCAACAGAAGCTAATTGTAGTAGATTTTGAAGAGTTACATTATACTTTATAATTAAATAACCATTGCACTGGTTATATGTAGAAACTAACATGTTTTAATTGTGTTTACATGTGCAACATTTTAGTACCTCTGCAAATTTTCACATCAAACCTTTCCCACAGATTATGGATGACGAGGATGTGTCCATGCATAGGCTGGCAGGGGCTGATCCATCTGCTCAAGTTGGTGGTTTGATAGTAAAGAAGAAGAGTGCTGCTTCAGAGACCCATGTTTTCCGGGCACCCACACCACGCACATCTTTGCTGGGTTTGGATCTGCTGGCTGCTCAGAAAAGGAAGGAGCGTGAGATTAAGGAACAGGAAGATTCAAATGGTGATGACAAAAATAGAAAGAAGTCAAAGATTTCCTCGTACAAAGACTGGGAGGAAAGTAAAAGCGACTCTGGGTCTGATGAAGAGGACAACGATAAGGAAACATGTTCAAAGAAAGAAAGGTATGTATTGTTAGAACATCAAGGAAATATATATGCAAATATTTGTCGAACAAATTTGAATTTATTAAAATATTTTTTCTTCTGCGATAATTTAAAAAGATCTTATCTTTATTATCATTAAACTTCTATTTTTTAAACCTAGATATCATAAGCAAGGCACCATTAAAAAAAACTGCAAAATTAAGATAACTAACCGTATTTCACAATTTGCAATCAATTTTTATAGTAAAAGTTTTTCTTTTGTTTAAATCAGTGCACACTTGTTTAGAATTAATAGTGCGGTTGAACTTGTTCTTTTTTCCTGCTCGCAGGAAGTACCGCGTGACTGGTTCTGAGACGCCCTCCAACCCAGGGGGTGTCAGTGAAGAGTTCAAACGCAGAAACCAGCAGAGAGAGAAAGATAGGCGTGAACAAGGAGTCTACGCCTCCTCCAAGGAGGACAAGACCAGAGATGGAAATAAGAGCAGAGATCACCACAGTGAAAGAGGTCATTCTTAACTACATTATTTTTCTTACAAGAGGAAATGTTTAAATAAATGTTAATTTTTGCCAATGTGATGCAAAAAAGCTCTACAAACTTTGCTAGTTAGGCTACTTAAAGTAATCTGCTTTCCTAATGTTTATTGCATTATTGTGAAGTCAACACACTTTTTTCAACCGTTTACAGAACAGATGGTCCATTATTATTATTTTTTTAATATAAATCATGTATTTATTGTGTGACACGGTGGCACAGTTGGTAGAGCTGCTGCCTCTCAGCGAGAAGGTTACCTGATTGAATCCCAGCTGGAGATCTTTCTTTGTGGCGTTTGCATGTTCTCTCTAAGCATACCGGGTACTCCAGTTTCCTCCCACAGACCAAAAACATGCATGTTAGGCTGATTGATAACTCTAAATTGCCCCTAGGTGAGAGAGAGAGAGTGAATGATTGTGTGTCTGGTTTGTCCATGTGTCTTTATGATGGACTGGACACCTGTCCAGATGTACTCTGCCTCTGTAAAATGAAAATGAAAGCCAAAGTCTGTTCACTTGAAGATTTTGAGAGTAACTTTTATTTATTTCTGTCAGATGAGCGAGACAGTAGACACAATCGAGGCAGCAGCAGCCGGTCCGAGCGCAGTGAGAGGAGTGAACGCTCGCAGAGAGATGGCTGGTCTGACCGCATCAGCAGGGGCAGTAGGAGAGATGAACCTTCAACACCGCAGCATCGTCCCAAAGGTTAGGGTTTTTTTTATTGTTTGCTTTTAGTTGGTTGCACAATTTTAAATGTGCCTGTTTATTTATTTGACCCAAACTATTTTGTGTTTGCATAGACTCCTTTACACCTTCCCGCTCTAACTGGGATGAAGATGATAGTGGTTATGGCAGTACGAGGCATTCTCATTGGGAGTCTCCATCTCCGGCTCCATCTCACAAAGAGTCAGAGCGCTCAGAGAGAAGCCATCGCTCTGGCGCAGAGAGTGAGAGGAGAGACAGGTGACTGTCAACCATGGAAATTTATAATTATTTTATAAAACTTTACTGTCTGTCTATCTGTCTTCTCTCTCTCTCCCTTTCTCTCCATATATTTATATTTATTTATTTATTTATTCATTCATTTCATTCATAGTGCAATTGTATTTTATCACAAATCATACTCATACCATCAAAGTTTTGGTTTTTATTACGATACATATTTTTTTTTAAACTTCCATAATGCATGTTGATACCGTTCTGTTATATGAAAATAGCCATTTTAACTCTATTTTTAGAGTAACTTAAAAACCAGTTACTTCTTATACTTTATATTTTTGCTACTTTTGGGTCTAACTGGGACCTTGAGCACACGTTTTTTTTCCACCTCATGTACCACATGTGATGCGAATGATAATGAAGAACCGTGAACCTTGAAAATCTGTCTTTTCCTTCATATTTGACATAAAAAGTTAGAATTTATTAAAACGTTAATCTTGTTATTTCAGGTCAGTCAGAGGTCGTTACTCTGATGATACACCCCTACCCACCCCATCCTACAAGTACAACGAATGGGCCAATGATAGAAAACATTTAGGTTCAACACCTCGTTTATCACAAGGAAAAGGTATTTATTTTAAATTGAAATCATTTTGTATTCTCGTGCTAACTTTAAATACAGTGTAATATTTAACGTTTTCTGGTTGTTGATTTTTTCAGGTAGAAAAGATGGTGGTGGGGGAGGATTCATGTTTGATGATGAAGGTGAGAAAGAACAGTGGGAGGAGGACCAGAAGGTGAGTATTGTCTCTTTAACATTTATTAATACCGGTACTTTATGGAAACTAAATCTGTTTGCTAATGAGAGTGTTTGATTTCTGATTGATTCACTAAATTGCAGCAAGCTGACAGAGATTGGTACATGATGGATGAAGGTTATGACGAGTTCCACAACCCTTTCACTTCTACTTCTGATGACTATGTGAAGAAGAGAGAGCAGATCCTTCAAAAGCAGACTCAGAAAAGAATATCTGCACAGAAGCGACAGATCAACGAGGTACAACCACAATGTTTCTTATTAAACTAATCAGACCTTCATTTATTCCAGGCACAAGTGCAAGTGTCTTATTTATATATAGTTTTCTCACATCCCTGTATTAAACTGCGTTTCTTCTTCTAGGATAATGAGCGGTGGGAGACCAATCGAATGTTGACCAGTGGTGTGGTGCAGAGGTTGGAGGTGGATGAAGACTTTGAAGAAGACAATGCTGCCAAAGTTCACCTGCTAATCCACAATCTGGTTCCTCCTTTCCTGGATGGAAGAATAGTCTTCACTAAGCAAGTAAATAACGTCCATTTTAATTACTTGGAGTTTTAGTCATTTTGAAGAAAATTCATCTGATCGCTTATGAAAACATCACTCTGGACACCATTTACAACAATTTTTTTTTACTTTACTGATCTTGAATGCTAGACTTAGACAAGAAGTGACTGTTTGTGAGCAGCAGTATGGTTTCATGCCAAGAAGGAGCCCTGCAGATGCCATCTTTGGTTTGACGATGCTGATGGAGAAGTACAGAGAGGGTCAGAATGAACTCCATTGTGTCTTTGTGGATTTAGAAAAAGCATCTGACAGAGTGCTGAGAGAAGAGGTGTAGTGTTACATGAGGAAATCTGGAGTGGAAGAGAAGTATGTTAGACTGGTACAGGACATGTATGAGGACAGCAGGACAGTGGTGAGATGTGCTGTAGGAGTGACAGATAGCTGGAGGTGGGAGTGCATCAAGGATCGGCTCTGAGCTTCTTGTTTGCACTGGTGATGGACTAACAGATGAGGTCAGGCAAGAATCCTTGTGAACTATGATGTTTGCAGATGACATGATCTGTGGTGAAACGGGGAGCAGGTGGAAGAGAACTTGGAGAGGTGGAGGTATGCACTTGACAGAAGAGGAATGAAAGTCAGTCGTAGTAAGACAGAGTCCATGTGTGTGAATGAGAGGGAGGAGGTGGAACAGTGAGGCTACAAGGAGCAGAGGTCACAAAGGTGCAGGACTTCAAGGACTTGGGGTCCACTGTCCAGGAACATGGGGAGTGTGGTGAAGAGGTGAAAAAGAGAGTCCAGGCAGGATGGAGTGATGGAGAAAAGTTTCAGGAGTGATTTGTGACAAAATGGTGTCAGCAAAGGTCAAAGGAAAAGTTTACAAGACAGTGATGAGACCAGCGATGATGTATGGTCTGGAGACAGAGACATGGACAAAAAGACAAGAGACAGAACTGGAAGTGGCAGAAATGAAGATGTTGAGGTTCTCTTTAGGAGTGACAAGGATGGAGAAGATCAGGAATGAGGTCTTCAGAGGTACAGCACAGGTTTGAACAACTGGGAGGTAAAGTTAGAGAGGACACACTGAGATGGTTTGGACATGTCCAGAGGAGGGACATTGGTTTGGACATGTCCAGAGGAGGGACAGTGGTTTGGACATGTCCAG